CCTGCCGTACACGCACAGGGCACAGTACAGCCTACAGGGCGCAGTACGGCCTGTGGGACTCGGTACGGCCTGCCGTACATACAGGGCAGGTAACCAGCTTCAGTGCTTTCATTCACTACTGTGGTGGCCACTCTCAACGCTGCTTCCCTACCACCCAGGTTCAAATTTCACTGCAGTCTGACAGTATAAGGAGGTGACCGGGCTCCAGTGTCCAGCAGAACAGCCCACAGCAGTCCCTCACTGACCCGACGCCCCCTTCTGGGCTCTGTGGGAACATGCTCGGCGCATGCATACAGCAAACACCCATACACATAACTAAATAAAAAAAAGTTCAAAAACATACTTCTTAAAGAAGTGATTAGACACAGCCACTGGAGAAGAGAGGCCCTCAGTACTACCCAGCGGTACCCTGTATGCTCCGGCACCGGGCCGCAAGGCAAGCTATGCCAACGACTGGCGAAAAGGTTATGGGTTCACCTGATTTGGACTGGACCTGAGGCCTGCTCTACGGGGTGCACTCAAGCCTGGTACCATAAACCGATTGCTTTAGTCCCTGGGTTTTCTGTGCTTCCATTCAAAGTTGACACTTGGCCTGACAAGACCCGTGCTGGGATTGCTGGGATTTTCATGGCGTTTGCATGAGACTCTGGCTTGCTTTAGGACGGCCATGCCTAGGGAGGTCGTAGGCCCTGGGGGTAACCTGCTACAGGTTTGATAAACGGACATGCTGTCAAATGTCCTTCAAGTCATTCACGTTTCTACAAACGTGAGTGCTGCTCGGCCTCGGTCAGAGAAGCTTCTCTCTGCAGTGGGCACAGTAACTGGTCAGGGAGCTGGAGTGAGTGCTGAGTGGGTGCTCATCTCTCTCTCTCCCTCCACATGGCTCAGGGGCATCCAGGAAGGCTGCGCAGAAAGAACGTAAAAGCTGGGAGCTGTGACGAGGGGCCCACCATCGAGAGGGACTATGTCCTCTTAACGGGGTAAGACGCCCCTGTTGCCCTCTCGCCTTCAGCCAGGTGGTGCAGCAGCCTTGGCAGGAGGCCAGCACTTGTAATGTCTAACTTCCACAACTGTGAGAAACGCCTTTCTGTCCATTGTGAATTGCCCAGGCTCAGTCAATCTGCTACAGCAGGACAAATTAAGAAAGGCTTTAAAGCTGAGCCCCATAGTAAAGGCATATGCCACCAAGCCAGAAGACCTGAGTTCAGTCCCAGGACCCGGGTAGAGGAACTGACTGCCAAGTTCCCTGCATGTACCACACAGAGAAATAAGTGTAGTAAGAGTGAAAAACAGTCCTCAGTCACAGAAGCTGGCGCTTTCTAGACAGCTTACCTCTCTGCACCAAACCCAGAGTCCAGGAAAGAGAGGAAAGCACTCTACCTGAGCCATATCCCAGCCTCTGTGCCAGAGCCAGGGTCTCACAGTGTAGCTCCAGCTGGTCCTTCCTGCCCCCACCCTCTTGGGGGTCGGGATTACAAGTGTGAGAGGCTCTGTGCCAGACTTGGGTGTGTGTAACTTACATTTGGGTGACTCGGGCTGGAAGTGTGTGGGGACCCCGCCTTCAAGCCCTCACACGATGGAGCCGAGGTGCCAAGGCTTCATCGGCTGAGGACAGGCAGCTGGACTGAGTCAGCGGAGACCAAGCTCCCGCAGCGTCCCTGTGAACCGCTCTTCCTGTTGCCCTGTCTTATCCCAAGCAGCTTGCTGAGACCTTCCTGTGAGCTGGCTTTTCTGCCCTACATGGGCCTCTAGGCCACAGCATGAGCTGACTTCCAGGGAGCCATGTTTGTCCTGCAGGCCCAACCCAGCCTGGCCGTGCCCCCATTCACAACACCACTGCCACCTCCAAGTCTCCAGAGATTGTCTCCGGCAGGGCCCCAGCTCTGCCACAGGCTCTGCACTCAGGATGCGATTGTCACAGCTCTTATACCAACCACACTGGCGTAGGAGTGGGAGGGAGCATAGAGGGCCAAAGACCACAAGCTCAAGGGTGGAACCCCAAGCCAGGTACTCACCTGTCACCTCAGCATTCAGAAGGCCTCAGCCAGCAGACGGCACAGGGCAGCAAGACCTCATCCCCAAAATGAAGTAAGAGTCTTGGCTGCCTTGGGGTATGGGCAGCTCCCCCAGGGAACCACGGCCTCCAGCCAGCTCAGGTGAGACACAACAGAAAGCTGAATGGAGCCCAGCCCACCTGGGCCTCTGCAGCTCCGCCTACAGCCCTGGTACCCTCCAGTGAGGGGCTGCAGGTGTGGCCAGGGCCTAGCTCTACTGCTGCAGGGCCTGGCCAAGGGCAGGAGCAGCCTTCATTAGTAAAACTACCTTCAGGACGGCCACGCACCCCAGCAGCAGCGTTGAGCACAGGACTCGGGAGAGGCCGAAGCCACACTTTGTCCATGGGTCTTAGTGGACGGCAAGCATGCGGTCAGGGCTGCTCCCAGTTCCCACCGGCACAGCAGGTTCCACCGTCTCCTGAGAAGCCCTGAGACCTTGCGCTGCTAAACCTGGCTGTGTGCGGAGGCTGCGCCACGGAGGGCACTTGCCAGCTGTCAGCAGATACGATGCTTCCCACGTGCATGGCAACCCCAACCTGCCTCTCGCTAAGAGGCCCCGGGCCTGGGATCTGGCAGCCCTGACTACCAGCCTTATGCAGCATGGGTATCTGGGCGTGGCCAGAGCCCTGCCCTCTTCTGCCTTCAGACACAGCTGCTGAACAAGGTTCCCTTGGATCTCTGGAAGTCCCAGACTTTATCTACCACAGGGAGGAGCCCCCAGCTTGCCCCCCAGCTAACTGTCTAGCATCCAGCCCTGGCTTTGCCTACCATGGTGGCTAGGGCTGTTTCCGTTGGGGCACGCTTCAATCCACCCATGTAACTGCTCCTATGCAGAGAACCACACCAAGACACCAAACTCAAGTCCAGGAGTCCAAAGACCATGCAGGGGTCAACTTTAATACTGGGGTTGACCTGTTTTGGGTTAAGGAAGAGATGCCCTCCTTTCCTGGAGGGCCCTGAAGGTACAGAAGGCCCTGTAAGGACCAGAGATTGTCCATAATCAAACAAGACAGGGCCTGGGGTCACTTCCAAGCTCTGTGCCTCCTGGTGGCAGCTTAGTGTGTCCAGGACTCCATGGGGTACACGCCCACTGGAACAGGGTCTCGTCATCACTTTCAAGATGACCTTCCACGAACAGGCTCCTAGATTTGTCCATTCAGCAGGATGGCCCCACCTCCCCAACATATGAGGCTCCACATAGTTTGGAGAACACCCGTATCCTAGGGTTTCTGCTACTAGCCTGCAGGGAACTGAGGGATATCAGGATGCCAGGCAAGGTAAGAACTCCTTAACTGAAGCCCCCACCAGCTCACGTGAGCAGCAGAGATGAGATGGAAGCATAGGGAGCCCAAGGTCTGAAGTGCTTCCTCACGAGAGCGCAGGTCGCACGGGCTGGGTCAGCCATGAGAACAGCACCGGGAGTAGTGGGCTGCGGCACCGTGGGGCCCCCGCTGCCTGAAGCCGGGCCTGGCTGCGCTGGGTGTCCATTTAATCCAAGCAAGACGTGATGCATCCAGACTAAAGTGCGAAGGGCGCGTTGTGGGGCCCTGATGTCAGGGCCCGTGTGAGCTGCTGCTCCAGCCACCAGCACCGGTCAGTTCAGCCCTTCAGGCCTCCTGGAAGCCCTCAGGGTTCTCACGAAGCCAAAGGCTCTGTGGGCCGGTCCTCAGAGAATCCCTGTGAGTCCCTGGAGAGGCCAAGTTATGAAGCTGCCACCAGCTCTGCCTGCCTGGATCTGGCCTTGGCAGGGGCTTCTGTGGAAAAATAGTTGTTCATGATGAGCACAGAGAGCGTTCGGATGAGGTCAGGGGCTGCAGGGGAGGGGTGTGCCAGCAGAGGAGGTGAGGTATAAACAGGGAGCTGGGCAGACCTAGAGGCCAGGGCCACAGCCTGTCCAGCAGGCCTCAGGGGGCTCAGAGCTCCCAGAAGTCACAAAGGACCAGAAGGAAATGTGGAGATACCATGACGTTGACTGTCTACTAAATCCACTGACCATGATGCTGCAGGGGCAGCCTGTCCAGGGCTCAGAGTTCCAGAGGACTGCTGGAACACGGGACCTAAGCCCGCCAGGGTCCAAGTGGCTGACAAGCCTCCCAGGGCTAATGAGTGAACATGCCTGGCGGCTGGTCTGGCTCCCAGGAGAGGGCCCAACAACCCGATGCCTGGTACTCGCTCTCTGCCAACCTGGGCACAGCTCAGGTGCACTTTCCCACTGTGCTGTGGGTGGCGCCGGTGGGTAAGGGGAGATGAAAAGGGTTCTGCTCCCTTTGAGACTTGAGTACGCACCTTCAGACCAACACACTCACACGCAAAATGCAAAGATACCTGGGCTGATGTCAGGAAGGGGCTCCAAAGGAACCTCTGGTAACTCGATTTGTTCCTGCAAGAGGCACAGGTGAGGCATGAGCTGAGCGTGTGCCGCCACAGGCTGCCGCGCCTCTCAAGAGGAGCTGGGTCTCCTGACTAGCTGCTCTCAGACGGAGTAGCAGCTGCCAACCTACTGCTCTGGCTGGCTCTGCTCTGCCCCAGCCATAGCACCCCTGCAGGTGCCTGCTGCAGAGGTGGCCCAGGGCATGCTGGGGCCCCAGAGACAGGAAGCTGCTGGGAAGGTCTGCGGAGCTACACTGGCAGAGGGCCATGGAGAGCGTGCCTGTGAGCACAGTGTGGGCATCCCAGCAGCTCATAAGGCTCCTGGCCCTGGCAGGGGAGTAGCCACAGGCCCCAGAGAGCGCTCCTGGGCTGCAGACAGTTGCAGGACCCCAGGGCCTGGACAGAGGGAACAGACTCCACTGGGTCACAAGAGGAAAGAAAGCAGAGGCTAACGGTGCAGGCAGGCTCAGCATTTCCTCTTTCCACACAAGGGTCACAAGTGCCTGCAGCAAACTGTCGGGTCAGCCTGCACACCCTCCCCCAACTCCCGGCTGCCAGCACCGGGTGTGGAAGAAGCTTGGCTTCAGCACAGAGGAAATCACCTTAGGAAGGAAATCGGGAAGCCACCACTCCGGGCTCAAACTAACAGTGGACACAACACAGCCAGGCAGAGGCCTACATGATCCCATCCCCCAGGGGTCCAGACAGCCCAGGGCACCCGTACCTGAGTGATTGCATTCAGCTCTTCCAGGATGGCATCCTCATCCTCCTGGGTGAAGCTTCCAGCCAGCAGCTCATCAATTTGCTGTGGAAGGAAGACAGGCATTGAGGAGCATGCCTGGCGGGGCTTTGGGTTCCCATGGACAGGAGGGGCTAGGCACACGGTGCCAACCCGGCAATGGGTGGGCCTGCGCCCAGCAGCACATACCCGCTGGTACTCTACTGCCTCCTGGGTCTCGTCCAGGATCCTCTCCACCTCCTCAATGGACATCACCTGGGGGAGGGGGTTCCAGAGCTGCTCAGTGAGGCAAATGGGGGCCCCGTAGCTGCACCCGAATCCTGTCTCTCCTTCAGCAGATCCAGGGAAATGGGCCTGCCCTTGGCTTTCAGCCACACCTGCCTTCCCCTGCCCAGACCTTCCCAGAGCCAGAGCGACCCTGACAGGGTCAGAACTGGAAATCCTTCCTGGGTGGCGCCTAGACTTCCTTCGAATCCAGTCAATACAGCACCTTTGCCCGCTGAAGCAGTGAGCCCCAGACCCTACTCAGACACCCAGAGAGACAGCTAGCCCAAACTCTGGCCTCTGAGCCCTGGATCCCTGCCCAGGCCCTCACCACACCCATGCTGCTCCCTGAGCTCAAGGTAGGCATCTGTGGCACCATTTCCTGCCACCCAGCACCAGTGAACCCGGCTCAAAGGTTGTGCTGTGCCACACCTCCCTCAGGTCCCTGCCAGGCACTGATGATCCCCCAATGCAGCTAGGCTCTGGTTCCAATCTAGCCTGAGCCCCCCTGGCCTCTGGACCCTGTGGCTGCTCCCGCCCACACGTGGCCAGGAGGACCTACCTGGTGCATCTTCTTGAGACACTCGTTGCCCACCTGAAGCCCCTCCATCACCTTCATCTCAATCTGTGTGAACTCGATGTTCTGAACCTGAAAGTAGCGGATGGCGGTCAGAAGCCCCACTTGGCTCCGCACCAGCTTGGGTGACAGGCTTCTGGCACTGGAAGGAATGTCCTACCCTTTCTGGTCCCTGCTGTGGGACTTACCGAGAAAGTGCTGGAGGACAATCAAAGGGTGCTGGCAGCCTTTCTGTGGCTCCAGCTAGCAGGAGCAAACCAAGCTTCACCCAAAAGACAGAGCCTGAGTGTTCCCCTCCTCCCGCCCCAGGGTGGCCCAGCCCCAACCCTGTTCCCCAGGTGCTCAGGTTCCCGGGAAAGGCTCCAGTCACTGCCTACCATGGCTTCCAGGCTGCTGATCTGGTTCTCTGTCCTATCGAGCAGCTGCTCCCTGTACCTCTTCTTCTTGAGCAGCAGCTTGGCCCGTCTGCAGGGGAAGCCGCCGAGTCTGCCCTGGCTCGGGTGCGGGCAAACGCCTCCTCTCCCACCATGCCCCTTTCCCACACTCCCACGGAAGTGCTCTTACTCTTTCCTGCCATCCCGCAGCAGCTGCCTGGCCAGCGCACGCTCCCTCTCCAGCTGTTGCGTGACCCTCTTCTGGTACTGCCTCAGCTTGTCCCTCTGCTGCTTCAGTTGCTGGGGAGAGAGCAAGAGTGCAGCCTGCTCAGCCGCTCCTGCCAGCTTCGTACCAGCCTGCATGGTCAGGAAGGGCCAGGCAGCCCTCTCTCACCAGGGCCTCTGCCACCCACACGGTGTGGGACAGTGCTCAGAAACATCTCCAGTCCTACACCACAGAGGCTGCCGGCCCCCCACAGGGCCCAGTGTGCCAAGGAGTAAACTCTCACCCTACTCAGTCACAGCTTGGCCCCGGACACTGGAAGACCAGGCTGGGAGCAGCCTGAGCTCTGTGGGCACTCAAGTGGGCACCAGGCCCTGGAGGGGTTGCTCGCCATCCTCCACCTCCCCACCTTTCTTTCTGAGACAGTGTTGCCCGATACCCCCCCCCCCCCCCCCGCCCACCGCCCGTTTCCCCCCACACGACTCTTCTCACTTTTATCATGCACTTGGCTTCCCTGTGTCCACTGTCATCTGCCTGAATGGACAATAGCCGCGTGGCAGTATGTGCAGGGCTGTCGTGTCGCCTTTCCACTGTGTGCCCCACAGACCTTGCATGGCCACTATCCAGCTGTGGCCAGTCCTCCTAGTTAGGCCATTCCCATTTTGTGCCCAAATGCTGCCACTTCAGGTGGAGCTACAGTGGACAGGTACATGCCCTGGGCACACGTCACGCCCAGAACAACACCTGGAGGGCAGACCATTTTGGGTGAAGGCAATGGGCACCTTCAGGGTTCAGCCACACACCGAGGTCACGTGGGAAAGCAGGCTAGCTGGGGGGCTCTGCTGCCTGGGGGGGACGTAGGTTCCCAGGTCCCCCACCTTCACCCAGTGTTCTCCACAGGGTCTGCCCCGCCCCAGTGGGCATCAGCCGCACGAGAGAAAGTGTTCTCTGTTCCCAGCTTCAGATTTGGAGACCCTGGCTAGGCTGCACGTGCTCTCCCTTCCTGGGAAGTTACTTCCGCCAGCTGTGCACAAAGCATCAGGAGTCTGGCTTGCCCGGGGAGAGGAATGGAGCTGCAGGATGCCAGGCTGTGCCATCTGAGCATACCAGGCAGGTGGCGGCAGCAGCTGGGGCTAGGCTCTCTCATTCCCGTGTCCCTGAGCTCTGGCATTGTTCAGGCGTGTGCTTCACAGTGGAGTCCTGAGCCCCGGAACCTCACGGAGGAGCAGACTCGCCCTGTCTGTGCTCAGGGCCCACCTCTGTGACAGTTCTGAGAAATGGAGGGCACACTCCTGACACACGAGTGACCCGGGGGGCCCCAGAGGCTGCAGAGGTGGGGGTGAGCATCCTTTCCCTGTAAGAATCACTCTGAGACCTTTACTGACAGCCACGCCTGCGGGTTCTTTATCTGGGCTTTACCTAGGAACTTTTAGGAACTTATAGTTTGGGGTGCCAAGGCCACTGGCTGCCAGCAGCTTGCTTCCTGGCACCTTCTCTCACGGATCTGCGCTCAGCCACTAGACACGATCCGGCTCTGTCCGGGCCGAGCTGCGGCCGGTCCAGGTGTGTCTGCAGCTGGGCGCCCGATGGCACCGGAAGCGCGGTTCGCTCCGCTTCCCGCCTCAGTTTCCCCCACGGGACCAGGGCCCCCGCCCGCCTTCGGCCCCTCACCAAGATGGCCCTGTCCTGTTCGGTGACCCGGCTCTGCTTCTTCCGACCAAACAGGTTGCCCATGGCGGCCCCGAGCCAGCCGGCCGGCCGAGCCCGTCGCCGCCGCCCCGCGGCCACCGTACTCCGCCCGCCCTACGGCGGCCGCGCGGAGCCACGCGCTGCAGAACGCGAAGCAGCTTCGTCCTGATGGTGCGCCCGGCCTTCCTGGACTTCCTCCGCGGTGCGAACGCCCTCCCTCCCCTTTCGGCTAATCGAATGGGACCTTTGATTAATTCAGTGCCTCTCAGATGGGCGAGCTTAAGCCAGGCTTCCCGACCTTCAAAAACGCCCAGCCGACGCCCCCACCCGGCTGGCGCTGAACATGAAGTGCTGAATTTCCTTAAGCTGCAGCCAGTGTTTTGGACCTATAAATGCTTGCTGAGATGCTATGCATCAACGTGCACCTACCATCTGGCGTTGTCACCTTGGTCCCGTAGTCCCCCCCACCCCCTGCTGTGGTCAGGGCCCGGGAGACAACACAGGGTCCTACTTTCTTTCTTGAGGTCTTGGGCTGCTGATGGCTGGGGCTGATGCGGTGGTCCCAGGAATTCTATAATCCTGCCCTCTTAGGCTCTTGGTGAGTTAACTGGGGTGCCAAGACACTGATGCCTGGGTCTCTACACCCTAAGAGCCCCCAGGGTGCACTGTTGCCCTGAATTCATTGCCTTGGTCAGGAGGCAAGTGCTCCTGCTTCCTCCACGGGAATCATCCCTTTGAGAGGCAGCACAGGAGTTGTGCGATTGCTAAACCTTCTTCATCCATACCTTCCTGGACTTCCGGCACAGCCTTGCCCTCAGGCCCCACCCATCCTGGGTCATGTAGAGCTGGTGACCAGCCCGGCACAACCAGCACCTTCTGATTCCTGAACTGCCTGCATTTTTTTCTGCCCCCTCCCCCCATCCACAGTGCGAAAAGAACAGCGCCAGAGGCGGAGAGGAACACTTATGGTGATGGCTTGAGGCAGGCCCCGGCTGCCAGACCTAGGGTTCTGGCTCTTCTGTCTTCACTTAGAAGTGGTTTCTAGAGGACTGGTGTTTTGGTTGGTTCTGCTTTGATTCGCAGAACACATCGAGTCCTGTGTTCCAGGGCCCTGTGCACGCAGCTGCTCTAAAGGGGCTCAGCCACCGAGGCTGGCTAGCTGTTGCATCTTAGTTTCCGATGCTCGAGCCAGCCAGCCCGTGAAATCTCAGCAACGGCACCCTGTCCCTGTGGCCAGCACGGCTGTAAAGAGCAGCTCTGTGGAACTTTCAGGAGGTGGAGGTTCCCATTACTGTGGTTTCAAGCCCTCGTGAAGGCCATGCTCTGGGGTGTGGGGCACAGGTGCTGGGCAGGGCCACCTGACAGAGCCCTGGCCTGCGCCTTGCTGTGCAGACCAAGGTGGCACCACAGATGCTGGCTGCACCGCACGCCCGGCTTCGCTGTCCATTCTTGTCTACGCTGTGTTAGGAGTCCTGACATGCAGCGCCTCTCACTGAGGATGCACCCGTGTGGCTAGGGTGTGGCTGGCCACCAGGGCCGCTTCAGCCTCCCCGGTCTAACACTCTGGAAGCTCTTCCACACATTCTCCCTAGTTCTCTGCCAATGCAGAGCTGAAAATGTCTGAATTCTTGCAGTCTATAAGCCAGGATTTGGCAGCTATGGCCTGTGAGCCAAAATTGGCTTGAGCCCCCCCCCCCCGTAGAGCCTGAAAGCTAAAATATATACTTATTTTATTTATTTATATTTACTTATAAATATATATTATATATTGTTTTATATGTTATATCATATATAAATATACTTAGGTATGCAAATATATATTTACATATATAAATATATTTACACATATAAATACCTTTACATATATTTGCTTATTTTTGGACAATGCCTTGTTATATAACCCTGGCTGTCTTGGAACTCACTATGTATACCAAGCCAGCCTTGAACTCACGGAGATCCACTTGCTTTTGCCTCCCAAGTGCTAGGATTAAAGATGTGAGCCACCATGCCCAGTAAGGTTTCTCTATTTTAAAAGAACTGGAGGGCTGGAGAGATGGCTCAGAGGTGAAGAGCACTGGTTGCTCTTCCAAAGGTCCTGAGTTCAATTCCCAGCACTGACATGGCAGCTCACAATCATGTGTAATGAGATCTCTCTTCTGGGCAGGCAGAACACTGTATATATAGCAAATAAGTAAATCTTAAAGAATTCCTGTTGCTTTACCAGGTGGTGGCAGCGCACGCCTGTAATCCCAGTACAGTGGGAGGCAGAGGCAGGCAGATCTCTGTGAGTTCGAGCCCAGCCTGGTCTACAGAGTGAGTCCAGGACAGCCAAGGCCACACAAAGAAACCTTGTCTTGAAAAACAAACAAACAAAAAAGGATTGCAAAGCACACACACACACATACACAAGCACACTCGGCACACACACATACAAGCATACACACACACAGTGCGTTCATGTACACACACACAGACGTCGAGGAACAGAAGAACAGGAAGCCAGTGGACAGAAACCTTGTGTCTTTTCCAAACATGAAATAGTTCGTGTTCACTCCTTTTTATTTTTTGAGGCTGTTTTGCTGTGGCTCAGGCAGGCCTTAACCTCGTGAGCCTCCTGCTGCAGCCTTCTGAGCACCGAGACTGCGTGCAAGCATATAGCACCCTCTTTAGTCCTTCACAGGGAAAAAAATCTCCGATTTCCATCCCAAGCCATTTCCTGCCACTTCACGCCATGTGCCTGGCCCCTGGCACTTGACTACAGGCCTCATGGCAAGAAAGGGTGGCCACTCTCTGAAGGGGCCGGCAGGCTGGGAGCTGCAGGGCTAGAGGAAGGGGGATGCTGAGCCCCCACAGGAGGGCTGGGGTTAGGGTGTGACGTCCTGTCCCATGAGAGAGAGACACACACACACACACACACACACAGACACAGACACAGACACAGACACACACACGGAGGAGGAGGAGGAGGAGGAGGAGGAGGAGGAGGAGGAGG